AAACATGTAATCAAAGGAGTCACCGAAGCGTGCAGCTTAGTAAAAGAACTACTCAGATGAATGGCAATGCGGTAAAAACCTGACAGTCTAGCTAAACCTAGGTACTAAATTATGCATTGCTTGAGATTACTGTAAATGACAAAGTACTTAGTAATAAACTTAATACTAATCCATGGATTGAAGATAAAGAGACACGCGAACGAATTTATAATATTTTTGTTAGAAGATGATACAATTATAGCAATCGTTCGTGGAGTGTTTGTGTAAGAAGTGATAACGGAGGAAAGAATAGGTGAGTGATAATAATTATAATAGCACCAATAGGGAGCAGAAACATAAACAGATATTTCTCAAGGTAGATAGATCTAAGAAGAACATAGTCGTTAGAAGACAAAGATATGATTACTGTAGAAAAGCTTTTAGAAATTCATTATCTATCAAATAAAATAGTGCTTAATAATAAAATTGACTAATTCTCAACCTGTAATGACAACTTTATTCCAGGTGACATTCTGCTTTACTCTGCTTTACCAAAAGTTCGTGAATTATGTTACCATCTCTGCCTTTTTCCCATAGCACAGGTCCAAATAAATCACCATCTTCATTAACCACTACCATTCAATTTACAACTTTAGCACACCCTAATTGAATCGAATTTACATTAAACATGAACAGTGTGACTTTTATAAATACTTCATTATCAATTCACATCAAAATTGGACCTAATATAATTTCCAGTATTTTTCACATGATCAAGCGTTTCGTTGTTTATGTTCTGGCAATAAACGAGTATACTTTGGGTGTTAATTGTGGGACTTAGTTCCCACACTTGGGTTTGGTTGTGACGTCATTGAGCTAATTGAAGTGGTCTATCGATGTGTCCTGCTTTAGTGTTATGTGAGTGAAAGTGGTGTCCATTGAAATCTATCGAGTCATCGGTCAATTATTCCGTTGCGGTTCAAGTGTGTGGTCTAATTTATCGTCCATTTTGTCCGCAAGTGGTTCTAACATGTTTATTTGGAGTTTAAATTCTTCATATCCATATTTCAAACTTAGATTATCAGTTTTAATGTGTTTCGTATCAATAGATACTTTTCTTTTTGCCTTAACGATACTGGATATTCCCACATTTGTAATGTGGTTCGTATCTATAGACGTATTTATAAGGAATAGACCCTCTTAAAAGTTATCAATGGGAATTATTTCGATGACAAAACAGTAAAATACAATGTGTATGTTATTATCTGTCTACAATTACGAAACCAACATAATAAACGCATTTAATTATGTACATTCAATCTACATCACGTGAACAATTACAAAAAGCTTCATTAAATTCCCACTGCTTGTCACTATACCCATCATTTCCTTGTTGCGCAATTGTTTCACAGACACACGAACATGGAGCATCAAAATATGATACAGAGACTAGCACATCAAGTTACCCCAAACTGTCAAAAATCCCTAATAGATTTTCAACGCTATTACAAAAGTATAGAGTTGAGAATGGTTTTTTGTACTTTTGGTATCTTCATGTGCTCCTGTCTGCATGGTTCTCAGTAAAAAGTTTTGCAAGTGCTCACCACCATTTTGCAACGGCGTAATGAAAGCTAATGAACCCTAGATGCGCAGGCGCAGCTACAAAAATTGTGACGTAACTGTTGTGTCATTGCGGTTTAGTTTTTAGCGAAATTACACGGTGTATTAAAATAATGGAGTGTAGTGTTATTGAGGTGGATGTGTTTCATTTACATGGTAAATATACCTCTATATGTGACGTCATGATTGCTGTTCAAAATGAAAGGCCGAAAAGAAATCTACAATGTAGTACCTATATTACTATAATTATACGAAAACAGTTCTCATAACATAAC